TGGCCGACTACTACGAGCATGTTCAGAGACCGGTCCTATGGCGGCGAGCGAAGGCTGCCCGATTCCCGCGGCGACTTCTCTGCGTCTCCCTTAACCAATACCAGGCGTCGCGTTTCCTAACCTACGCGCAGGGGTCAGGGGCTCTTTCGGCCACAGTAGAGATCGGCTGCCCCGGGAGAGGGATAGCGGCGGGAGATGGTTTTGCAACTTACTACGTGCAGGTCTACACGCTAGAGCCCTTCGACCATTGGCAAGCGCAACACCTACATCTCCCGCTATCGCTGTTCATTGACGACCTCCATGTCGGTAAGACGGACAGCAGCGAGGACCAGGTTATCAGAGCCCTCGTGGAGGGGGCCGTGTCGCTGAACCGCGTCATAGAGGACGAGTTGGGGTGCTCGGTTGCAGTGAAGAAGTCGGTTACTCTAGCTAATTCAACTTCCCTGCGCGGTCGGTTGGGTAGGGCCCTTGGTACTCGTGCCGGCACGGTGGCCCCTTCAGGTAGAAACCTGGGCATCGACTACTTCGTGGGCAACCTACGGTGCCGGAAAGCAAGCCGCCCAGTGCTCAAGCAGAGGATGAACAAGCTAGCGAAGAGGAAAAGGCGATTGGCAGCCATCCGGCGAGCAGGCACAGCCATGCGCAAGGTGTTTACGACAGGTCTTGATTCGTATGGGACATACGGGGTCGACGTTGTGGGCTTAGACACGACAGAGCTGCAGGACCTCCAGTCGACCTACCTTTCCATGGTTGGCTCTCGCGGGGACGCCCGTTCAAGGTCAATCTCCCTGGCGCTTCATGACGACCCTACCTGGCGCCAAGGCCTGGCGCCCGCGCTGACGTGGACCAAGATTGTGTGGCGCGCGCACACGGTGAGGACCCCATCCAACAGCCTCAGCCTCCCTCGGTTGGTGCGGCTCGCCGAGCCGATCCTTCGAGCCCCGCCGAAGCATTGGGGCAGCGTGAAAGGTCCGCTAGCCGCAGCCGTGCTGTCCCTGAAACGCATCAAATGGTCTTTCCACACGCCCCTCATCTTCCAGGACGAGTCGGGGAGGCACTGGCCTCTCACAGCCTTCTCCCCAAAGTTCATAGAACTGAAGATGCGGGAGACGTGGCAGAGGGCCCACCTCGCGACGGTGGCAGCTAAGCTCGGCTCAGCCCAGGGGGCACGCGTGGACCTGACGGTTGCGCAACAAGTGCTTCACAGAGGAGGTTTGCAGAGCCAGGAAGCTGGCATACTCATGTCCTTCTTGTGCCAATCCATTTGGACGGGCGAGAAACTCCAGAGGGCAGGCTACTTGACCGATGCCCGGTGCAGGTGCGGGCATCCTTCGGACAGCTTGTCCCACCGCATCCACCATTGCCCACTGACGGAGGATTTGCGTAAGCAATGGTTGGGGCCGGAGAACGTGGTTATCTTGAGCGACACCCGCCGGAATTTCCCGCTGGCCTGCGGCTTCCAGGAGCACACCGGGTACTCGGTCAACCCCCCGCCTGGGCCGGGCACGCGCCCCTACCAATACTGGTGTTCGAACACGGATTTGGAGCCCGCCGATGCCCTGGAGGGGGAGTTGTTCACGGATGGCTCCTGCCTCAAGGAAGGGCCGCCGGAGTTCCACGTTGCGGGGTGGTCAGTCATCAAGCTGACGGCCACAGGGGAGCTCTTCGCAGCGCTGTGGGGCTCGGTGGGCGAACAGTACCCGCAGACGTCGCCAGCGGCCGAACACGTGGCAGTTTTGGCTGCCACAAAACATTGTCCTAGAGCCACGAGGATCCACTCGGACTTCCTCGGCGTCGTCGAACTCGGGGAAGCCCCGTGGTCCCAGGTGGTGTCAAGACACCACATCTACGCGGGCATGCGCGTTCAGATAAGGAGTTCGCCCACATGGACGCGTGGCCTCTCCATTCACAAGGTTGCGGCCCACGTGGATCCAGACGGCCTCGAATTGTTTTCGAGGGAGTGGTTCTTGGCTAAGGGCAACGACTATGCTGACAGATTCGCCAAGCGTGGTGCCGCACTACTGGCACAACCATCCCAGGCTGAGAAACAGGATTATCAAGCTGATTCGGTCACGTTGCGTAGGTACCTCAAGTACATTTCCCAGGCGCTCCTGTTATACCCGCGGCAGGCGCCCACCAAGCAGCATCGCTCTGTATTTCAGAAAACACGGCGCGAGGCGGACTTCAGGTCGGGCGCAAGGTCGGCCAGGGACGCCCTGCCGGTGCCGCCCGCAGAAGCCCCAGCCGCTGTGGCAGCCCCAGGGGCTAGGCTGCAGGCACGAGGGGCGCGTGCGGGCCCCCTGCTACCGCCACCCCCGCCGCTGGTGGCCGCAGGAGCCACATCAGGAGGCGTGCTGCGGCCGGCGTCCTCCGTCACGCAGGCGCCGGCCCCTGAGATAGAGGGCCGCGCGAGGGCCCACCAGTGGAAATTTGTGAGGCCAGGTCTATGGTCCTGCCGAGTGTGCTACAGGAGAAGCTGGTCAGTGTCGCCTTCACAGTCAGCGAGGTGCGTAGGATATAATGCTGCATTCAGCGCCATAGCAGCAGAACCGCGCAATCATAGAGTATACATAGCCTGCCACGGCGACGATAATCTTATTTTTGTCTGCAGCTCTTGCGGGTCCATCTGCCAAGGTCGGAAATCGGTTGGGCTTTCGCGCAACTGCAAAGGTAGGTACACGAGCGATCACAACAGGAGCAATTGGACCAGGATGTTCCAGCGGAAGCATCCAGACCCTTCCAAAGGAGAGGCCCGGGTGCTTGACGAGCTATTGCCGCTCTCGAGTCTATTCTAATCAGGGTTGTCGCGGACTTGCCGTCGCAACCTCAGTTTTGTGTAGTATCCCTGACAGCCCAGAGGGCGCTGTTCATGCCTGGCGCCGCCCATGGGGTAAGGAAAAGTAGCATCTGCAGTAGTCTAGCATAGTGCAGGAATATACCCCTTTTGAAAAACCTGCATTATATTGCCCCGGACCTTACAGGGGTAGTGGAAAAGTGTGTTTTAAAAACGCGTAATGCTCGCCGATCTGCCGGAGAGCCTGAAAAGCCCAGTGCTTATGAGGACCCCCTGTCGGTTCCCCCATTGTCCGTTTCAGCTTTGCGCCACCCACAATCCCACTTAGTGGGATAGCGTCGTTGGCCATCATAAGCCCTCATGCGTTGCCTGTTGCCTAATGCATGCTGGGACCTTGTCCCCTCGTGCGTTGCATGCTGATGCCGGGGCGTTCGCCCCTCAAGAGCACCCAATTCAGTGGTGGTGGCATCCAGGCCCCCCGCCCTAATCGAGGGGGCCCTGGCTGTCATTCAGGGGCGCCACTGGGCCATGCACACCCCGACCCCCCCGCTGACAATCGGGAGTCCGAAGCACTTCTTGAGCTGCGCGACCGCATCCCTGTCTATTCGTGCCTGGCCCCCGTGTCTTAGTGGACCTCTGCCCCCGCAAGTTCACTTCCCTTCGGGATGCCACCCCCTAGGAGCCCAGATCCGGGGATCGCTAAGAAGGGCTGCGGGGTGAGGAGGGAGGGTAAGGAGGACCACCAGTCGGACCAGTAGGATTTCTGCCTGCAGGAGATTGTGTGTTCGGCCCCTGCGCCTTTGCTGGCTTTGTCAGGTCCGTGGATCCGTACCCTCCCCAGTTTTGGGTCTTGATTTGGGCCCCCCCTGTTCGCTCAGCCCTACCCCGAGGGTCCGGCGAATGGGGAACCCATTCTTGCACCCAACTGTCAGTCCGTGCTAATCCTCCTCCTCCTCCTCCTCCTCCTCCTCCTCCTCCTCCTTCCTCCTCCTCCTCCTCCTCCTCCTCCTCCCCCTCTCCTCCCTCCCTTCCTCCCTCCCTCCCCCCTCCCTCCCTCCCAGGGAGGGCTCCTCCTATCCCCCTCTTCCCTCCCTTCCTCCCTCCCTCCCCCCTCCCTCCCTCCCAGGGAGGGAGCGTACGGGGCCCTGAAGAAGGAACCCGTTTCGTTCGGGAGGGGCTCGGTGTTCCTTGAGTGTTTCACAGCTCTCCTCAGGTGCTCCTTGTGCTTTCGATAGGAAGTCGAAGGTTAACTTGTGGAAAACAGGGGCCTCGTTCCTTATTTAGGGTTCCTTCGGTCAACGCCCCGACTGCATGCTCCACACGTCCAATCTTAAGTCGGGCCTGTCCCCCTGCAGGGGGATTTTCGACGAACAATAAGAAATACCCCCAAAAACAGTTAAACAATAGTCCAAAAATAGTCTGGGGACTATTTTTGAGTATTGTTTGATCTTTTTGGGGGTATGTTTGGGTATTTTTAATGCTTCGTCGAAAATCCCCCTGTAGGGGGACACGCCCGACATAAGTCCAGTCCGTCCACGCCTGGGAACGCCTGGGGGCCCCGGGGAGCGCTTGGGAACGCTTGGCAGCACTTGGGAGCGCCGAGGAGCGCTTGGAGCGCCTGGGAGCGCCTGGGAGCGCATAGAGGGCCTGCAAGCGCCCGGGAGCGCCTGGGAACGCTTGGGAGCGCGTGCGTGCCTCGAGCTTCCTGGCGCAACGCTGGAGGTCTGGGCCCTAAGTCGACTAAGAGCTTGTTCGGGAGGTGAGCGGGGTAATTAGATGGCTTGTCGGGCTGATGGGGGAGCGCGGAGCGCAAGCAACACGAGCAACAGCTGGGGTGCACGAGCTGCTGGAGCCGCAGCCATTCATCCCGCAGACCGGAGCAAATCGGACGGGGCCACGACGAGGAGAATCGGGGCTCAAGAGACGGGGGTCCATGCAAACGGGGTCAGCCAGAGCGCCCCGACCTTGGGGCCAGGGTCGCAGTGACCCGGGCTTGGGCGCAGGATCCTGCAGGATCCTTCGCATTGACCTGGGTTTGGGTGAAGGATCTCGCAGGGTCCTGCAGGATCCTGCAAGGCCTGACTGACCCGGGTCTGGATTGACCCGGGCCAGAGGATCGGAATGATTGCCAGGGCCGCAGGATCTCAGAGATGCCGGCTTTCTCCCCGCCCGATGTTGGCTTCGTCCTGGCTTCGCCTTGGCTAAGGACCGGGTTGAGCATGGACGAGCTGTACGTCTGGTGCGACTGGTTCTCCATCCCCCAGAGGTGCGGGCGGCGGCGCGCGCAGAAAGGGGCGGCGCAAAGAGAAGGAAGCAAGGGTCGGCGCGAGGGGGGCTGCGTCGTGAGAGGGCAGTGGCGCCTCTCGGACGCCCAGCGGGCGGGCGTCGCCCGCCCGCCTTCGAGCGGGCAGTGGCGTCTCTCTCGGGGGGGGGGGGGCGAGGAGGTTTTCCTCCGGCAGGGCGAGTAATCATCTGGTTGGCCCGAAAGACGGGGGTCCAGCGAACAGAGGGTGGTGCAGGAGATTCGGTGCATTGGACTTGTTGGGTCGCACTAGATTTGGGGCGTGCCATACCCTCCGGCGTGCGGATGTGTTGCCGGACTGGCGCGTGCAGCACATGCGTTGCAATACGGTCGCAATACAATTCTCCGGCGCAGTACATCTGCGATACAGTTGCCCTGAATCTGTTGCACCACCCCCTTGTAGCTGCACCCCTTTCTGGGGTTCGCCAGGGAACAGCAGGAGCAGTAGGTCGGATCGCTGGCATCACCAGCGGTGGTGACGCGCCGCCGTGCCTGGCTGCGGAAGAGCACTCTCGCAAGCCTCCGTGCCCCGTCCAAGAGGCCCCCTTCTCCCCATGCAGAAGCCGCAGCCCTTCCAGGCTTTCTCAGAAGGCAGCCCGCCTCGCCCCACCCCCCCTTTCCCTCAAGTCGGGCGTGTCCCTCTACAGGGGGAGCATTGTGGAATATTCAAGAATAGTCAAAACATAATCTGGGGACGATGTTTAGAATCTTTTTGGCTAGGTTTGAACATGTCTTGACCAATTTTGATTTTTAGCCCAAAACCCGCATGTAGGTGGACATGCCGGACCTAACCCTTTCCCCGGTGAGCTAAAATTCTAGGCCTAGGCTCAGGGGGGGGGGAACACGCACACAGACAAAGAATCGTCGACCCCCAGTACGTGTTAAAATCTGGGGAGGGGGGAAGACGAAACTCTAGAGAATGTATGAAATAAGGGGAGTCCTGGGATTTGTCTATTCATTTGTGTCCCTGGGCCCTGTATAGGTGGGGTCAGAGTAGATGGCGTCGGAGGATCGCAACATATCGCCGATGCATCGGCGATTCGTCTCGATGCGGAGCCCGATTTTCGTCACGCCGATGGCGCCGATGCATCACCGACGTCGCCGATGCATCGACGATACGGCGCGATCCTCCGTCCCCATCTACTCGGACCCCATCTGGGAGGCCTCTAGACATGGGTACGGAAACAATGGGCGCAAAGTCCATTCGCAGTTCTTCTTCATTCTGAACAGGGTTCGCTGTCGGCGTCACCGCGGCCGTCGTCCATTTGAGACACGAGCCCGCCCGCCCAACAGCGGCCGCTGTCAGTCTTGGACATCCCGTGCTGTTGGGCACCGCAACCATTTTTTGTCCGAGCCCCTTTCGGACGTGGGCACCTCTGGCTCACCGCCAGTCGGCGGCGAGCCCAAGTAGGGGGCCACATGCGAACCCTACCCCTACCCCCACGATTTCTGAGGGGCAGGGTGGGGTTCACTTCGCTCGGGAGCTCCCGAGCGAAGTGAACCCCACCCTCCCCCTCAGAAATCGTGGGGGGGTAGGGGGAAGGGTTCGCATGTGGCCCCCTACCAAGGGGGGAAGCGGTGAGTGGCGGGCCTTCTCGGAAGGGGCCCGGAGGGCCTCAGGCCCTCAAGTGTCCCGAGCCGTCCCCGAAGACACCGACGACGGCTCCGAGGGCCGAAAGGGCTTCGGAGGAGCCCGCCGCCTTCGGAGAGGGCCTGTCCTCATGTCGGGCCTGTCCCCCTGCAGGGGGATTTTCGACGAAAAATATAAAAAATACCCCAAGCATGCCCCAAAAAGGCAAACAAAATACCCCCAAAATAGTCCCCAGAATATGTTTGGACTATTTTTTGATTGTTTTGGAGGGTATTTTTTAATCTTTCATCGAAAATCCCCCTGTAGAGGGACAGGCCCGACGTAAGCCTGTTCCCGCTCGCTGCCCCCCCCCCCCCCCCCCCGGCGCGCGCCGCCGATCCGAGGTGCCGCGCCTTCCAGAAGATGGCCATCGCCTCGCTGCCGGTCTTCGCCTCCCTCTGCCACTGCTTCGTCGCCGTCGTCCCCGACAGCTGGCACTCCGACACGGGGGCGGCGGCCAACAAGGAGCGGGGGCCGAGCACCCAGGAAGAGCACACGCAGCCAGCATTTTGGCACGCGCTTGGCACCGCTCGGACGTGTGCATTTTTCCTTCGGCGAGGACCATCGAGGAGCATCCTCGATCATGTGACGAAACAACCACGCACGAAACCAAAAAAAACACAGGAACTGGACGTCCGAGTGATGGCCAGGGGGCCCACGTGGCGCTTTGGAGCGTCACGAGCGGTGAGCGCATCCACATCCACACCCTCGCGGTCTGGATTCAAGGCGGGCGTGTCCCTCCACAGGAGGAAGATTCAAAGATGGTCAAACCATAGCCTGGGGACAATTTTTTCTTGTGTGAAAGACATTCTGCTGGGACCATTTTTCTGAGCATCTCTGACGATGTTTCGTTTTTCTCCTCGAGCATCGGCCTGTAGGGGGACAGGCCCGACCTGGGTCTGGATGAGTCCCGCGGGCACGCGACGCGCTTGGCACCGCTCGGACGTGTGCATTTCTCCTTCGGCGAGGACCATCGAGGAGCATCCTTGACCATTTGGCGAAACAGCCACGCACGAAACCCCCCAAAAAACACAGGGAATGGACGTCCGAGCGATGGCCAGCGCGCGGACTCGTGCCGCGCGGGGCCGCCGCGAGCAAGAGGCCTCGCCTCCGCGGGGGGTCACGGCCCTGGGGGCCCGACCCGCGAGGCCGCCGAGGCGCACCTGTGTTGTCGCCAGCGAGAGAGGGGGGCTGGCCTCTTGCTCGGGCGCGTCTCTCCCCGGCGCTCCTCGGGACGCAGACGCAGACCCCCTCGCGTCATGAAAAAATCACGACGGGAGGTTTTTCGTCATTTTCGGCCTTTGGGGGCCCGTTACTGGCCCTCGGGACCGTCAAAAAACGACTCAGGACGAAAAACCGGTCCCGGGGAATGGGTCCAGACCGCTGGGGGTCGACGTTATGAAAAATTCATCACGTCGGGGGTCTGTGGACGCAGGCACCCCCCGCAAGAAGCCCAGCCCTGAAGATCTGACACAAGCGTCTCGCCCAGGGTCTGGGCTTCTCAGCCGAGGGCCCCAAGCGGAGAAGCCCACGGCATCCTGGACGGAGGCGTTTCTTCCAGGGGCGTGATGGGGAAAGGCGCGAGCTGTGATCGGGGGAGGGACCCAGGGTACCCTGGGGGCAATAGTATCTTAACGACCAGGGGAAGTCACCGTGCATCGCTGGGAACGAAGAATCCAAGGCACTCTGACGAAAACGCTACGGTTTCTTGGTGCGCGTCCCCACTGTACCCAGCGTGGCCTTGTGTCTTACCCGGCAAGCTTTTGCGTACGGCGGACTTCTGTTGGCGCCGGACTCCCTCCCCGCGCCCATGCGCGGCTGCTTCACCTGGAGCGCTGCGGCTGTGTGCGGGGGGTCAGCGCCAGCAGAAGACCTGCCGTCCGCTGGCGTCCGCAGTTTCTGCTTGTGCTTTTCTGCTCCCTGAGTGGGGGCCAGAGACTCACCGAGCGCGTCCAACTAATCGCAAGATGTGACTGCTAGCAGACATCGTCAAGAACGAGCGCTGTTCGATGCAATGGAGCCTGTCTGCGTCGACGCAACGGATCCATTTGCGAGCAGCTACTCTGCGAGTAGTGGAACGCGCTTGTTGAGAGACCGCCAACACAAAACCTCCAGCCCTGGTCCGGCCCCGTCCTGGGCCCCGGGCTCGCGCGTGCGCCCCATCCTCCTCCTCCTCCTCCTCCTCCTCCTTCTCCTTTTGACTGTTGCGGTGCATGTTGCGCCACAAGCACTGCATCATATACCTTGCAATTGTTGCTAGTAGCCTGCACCGCATAGATTGCGCTACATCGGTTGCAGCACGTACATTGTCGCGCGTTGCGCCACAGACGTTGCGCCTCACGTGCAGCACCACGTTGATTCTCCGTTCTACAAGAATATTCGGATCTACCCTCCACCCCTCAGGGTTAACGGCACGTGCTCTTCTCCGTATTGCAATGTGCATGGTTTTGCCCCATCGTCCATCCGAAATCTGACTTCATACCATCCCAGCCAGGCCGATATCCCTCGCCCCCTTTCATCCCATTCCAAGAATATCATGTGCGCGCACTCGTTTACCAACAACCATCGGTGTTCAATAATCCGTTACCAAAAAAAACGGGACGAAGTGCACGCGAGCGCGTCGTCGCGCGCGCATGCCGGAATCTTTCAACAACCTGTTTGGTTTCGTACGGATTTCCAAATCGAGTGTCCCGGAAGCATTCAACAAACCAAACAAACCAAACAAACCAAAACACAACAAAAGAAAAAACACGACATGGTTTCGTTACAGGGGCGTTCAAAAAAGCTTGCGCCCGCGCACTTGCGTATTCTTACTAAAACGATAGGTTCTTCAACACTGTCATAAAATATTACCAAGCGGGGCTCTCGCGCGCGCATGTCGACATCGCTCGAACGCCCTTTCACGCGTGGAGACCATTTCTTTATTGCTTGGGGCATGACGGGCGTCATGGCCCCCGCCCCCCCCCCCCTATGACGTAACGCTCCCCCCCCCCAGTGCGCCCGCCGCCCCGCCCCCCCCCCCCCAGTGCGTTCAGGGCACTGCCGCCGTGCGTATTGGGATCCGCATAGGAATCCGCATAGGAGTCTGGTCCGCAGTCGTCGTCGTCGTCGACGTCGTCGTCGTCGTCGTGGCTCGTGGCTCGTCGCTCGTCGCTCATCGTCGTCGTGCGCGCGGACGCGGCTGGAGGCCGTTTTTTTATTCCGGGCCGATGACGGCAATCATCTGGGGGGGGTGGAGGGGGTCGATGACGTCACGCTTCGCGCCAGCGGCGCTTGGGAATGCTTAGGACAAACGGAGGACGGTGGCACCAACGTGTAGGTGGCGATTTGCACCGCAATGCCTGTGTACACCTCAGTGCATGCGTGCACCACAGCGCCTGTGTACACCACACCGCCTATGTACACCATAGCAGCCGCGTGCAACACAGCGTCAGTTTGTGCCACCGAGCGCGCGGGCACAACAGCTCTTGTGTACACCACAGCGCCTGCGTACACCACATCAGCCGTGTACAACACAGCAGTGTACACCACAATGCCTGCGTGCACTGCAGTGCCTGTGTACACCACGGCGCTTGTGTGCACCACAGCAACCGTGTGCAACACAGCACCACTGTTGTATGCAGAATGTTAGAAGGAATCGTTATGACAAAATGGAGCGTTTGTGGATTCCACTGAAAACACCAGAAAATAATCCTTATGGACAAGGGAGGGCCAGGGGAATCTACGAGTTCGCCCGCATCACCGTAACTCCTCCCATCTGCGTCCAGGAGGTTCCAGCTAAGTGTCCGTCCGAGAACCAAGTGGGCCGATTATATAGACCATTCTGCGGTGCACGCTGAGTTGCGCACGTGCGCTGGCGCCAACCTGCGCGACAGGGGGTAAGAGAAGGAGGAGGAGGAAAAGGAAGAGAACAAAGGAGGAGGAAGAGGAAGAGGAGGAGGAGGAGGTGGAAGTGGAGGAGAAGGGAGGACGTGGCGTGGCGCTTCCGCAGCAGATCCTCACGTACAGGCTTCTTCTACCTGTCCTGTGCACGCAGGCACTGTGGTAGCGCTGCGTTGCACGCGGGTGCTGTGGTGTAGACAGGCGCTGTGGCGTGCACAGGCGCCGCGGTGCACGCAAGCATTGTGGTGTACACAGGCGCTGTGTTGCACATGGTTGTCTCCGGTGTGCACATGTACACCGGCGCTGTAGTGTACACAAGCACTGCAGTGTACACAGGCGCCGCGTTGCACACGGTTGTTGCGATGTACGCAGGCGCTGTGGTGTACACGCGCGCTGTGGTACACGCGCGCGTTGTGGTGTACACAGGCGCAGGGGGGCAGATCGCCACGAACATGCTGCTCGCGTCGTTGTCGTCGTCGTCGTCGTCGTCCGCTTGTCGGTCGTCGCGTCGTGCGCGCGGGCGCGGCTGTGGTGCCGGAGCCACACGGCGGGGGGGGGGGGGGCGTTACGTCATACCCCCCCCCGCCGCCCCCCCCGCCCGTGACGCTCGTGATCGCCGAACATAAAGAAACGCTCTGTTGTCGCAAGATTCATGGTTGCAAAAGACGGGACGAAGTGCACGCGCGCGCGTCGTCGCGCGCGCATGCGGAGTCTTTCGAAGACCGCGGCTTTCATAAAGGATTTCAAAACGAGCGTCCCGAAAACATTGTTTAATATGGTTTGGCAAGAGCACCCGCGCTCTGGCAACGCTGTAGTTGGGACTTTCAACCGTAACATCAAATCGTGCGGGTTTTTTCGCGCCGTATGCCGAACTCATTCGAACGCCCTTGCGCGCGTGCTGGCGGGCACGGTCCGTGCCAAATGATACCACGGGGGCCATTCGGTCACGTCGGCCGCGCGTTTGCCGAACTGTTTCCAAAAACTTCATCTCCGACGTGAGGACATCGTCATCGTTATCGGCGGGCGTGATCAACATCGGCGCCGTCATTGGCCTTGCCGTCGTCATCGTCACCATCGTCACCATCCTCGCTACTATCATCATCGTGTCTTCCGTTGCTGGTGTCGCCATGATACCGCGCCCGCCCAAAAAATCACCGAGTTGCATAGAAGTGCCCCGTGGAAGTGCCCAGCGGTCCGCGCCACCCCGGCCGCGCCGGTCGCGCCGCACAAGTTGGTCGCTGCGCGCGCGAGCATGCGCGGGTAAGCGCGGCCGCAAAGACGCACCAGCCAGCGCCGAAGACTCATCGCCACCGCCGTCGCATGGGTTTTGCGAACCAAGTTGCGGGTGGGTGGGTGGGATGTTTGCGCGAGCAGTGGAGTTGACAAGTTCAACTTCGGCAGCGCGAAGGGCACCACAAATTTTGCAACACATAGTTTGCACCGTGTCCCTTGCACCGCATATGTAGCCTGCGCCACTGACCTTGTTCTTTATAGACTGCTTCATTTGGCTGCAGCACAGAACTTGCACCATGCACGCATTTCGCTGCGAAGATTGCACATCGACAGTGCAAGAGCCCACTGGCACGCATGGGCCAGGAGGCGTACGCACCAGTCCATGGCCCATAATGGGACGGGGAGGTCGTTGGAGGTTGTGTGTCGCCGGGGAGGTGCACAGGGAACAGGGCAGGGAGGAAGGAGATAAAGGGGATGGGAAGGCTGAGAGGGGGTGGAAGGACGGGGAAGGACGGGCGAAGGGGGCGGAAGGGGCGGGGGGATGCAAAGGAGGGGGGAGAGGGCAGGAGAGGAGGCGGCAGGGAGGCCGGGCGGACGCAGGCGACCTACCACCGCCGCACGTGGTGCCGCGCGGAGGTCATGTCCCACTGGGCCCGCAGGGGCACGGACAACATGTTCTACGCCGACGGCGAAGGCCTCGAGCCGATGGCGCCGTCTGGCCCCACCGACGAGTTCCTGGAGGCGATTCAGGTCCCCGGGCAGCAGGGGAACGAACGCTGCACATTTACCAGCCTCGAACGTCTCCCTATCCCTAAGATTGGCACGCCAAAAGGCGATGACAATCTTAGGACTTCGCCCTCAAAAAATAAGGGAATCCCTAAGATTGGCATCGTGATGAGGAGGTGCCCAGCATAGGGGTAGGGATATGTTCCAGGCTGGTAGCACATGGCTTGCATGAGGTCAGCACGGGTCACCCGGGCCGCTTGATCGGTCTTCCTCGGCGCACGATGCGCGCAAGGGGCGGCGCCAGAGGCGCCGCCAGCGGGGGTCGCCGACCCAAGAAATCCGCGCGGACCTTTGACAGTTCGGTTTCATGTATTTCTGCTGTTGTTGAATTGTCGATCCTGGAATGTCGGTGTCACTATGATTAATCCTCCATCCCTGTAGCAGATGTTCTTTTCAATTGAGGTGCCCCTCTTGGGGCTCGCACCCAGGTTACTACAAGGGAAAGTCTGGGTCTCTACATGACGTTGTTGCCCCCCAGAACTTCGCACCCAGGTTACTACAAGGGAAAATCTGGGTCTCTACATTACGTTGTTGCCCCCCAAAACTACTACAACAGCGGCTCTTGCCTGATACATCCTCGCAAGTCGGGATGTCTTTGCGAATTACCCGTGAATCGAACTCTCGCATGAGACTTGCTTACAGGCTGTCTGAACGAATTGTTTTCTCGGCGCTCTGGCATCGCGCTCTCGCTCGGGATTTCCACTAGTTTGTTGAGGAACCGCGCTTTTGCCGTAGACTTTCTTGCCATCCCCTCTTGCTAATCCCATTAGCTAGTCCCTCTCGTCCTCCATCGCCTCCCTTCCTCCGTTTTGCCATCTTCTTTCCGCCCTCCGTTCCTCCACTCCCTTCTTTCCTTCCCTCCCTTCCTCCCTTCCCCTTCTCTCTTAAGACTTTGTGGGCCCGTCTCGAAGCCATCTTGGGCCGTCTCGAGGCCAAAGTAGCCCAGCTTGGATCGATATTGAGCCGTTTTGCAAGCATTCGGGCCTCGGGAGCACGAATCTGGTGCATTTGTCCAGGGAGCTTCGAGAATAAGGTAGTGGCGGCGCATGCATGCGCCTGAGCTCGCCTCGGGGGGGGGGCTTCAGAAAGTTAAATTTGAATCGGGCCTGTCCGACAGAAGGAGTATTCAAAAATAGAAACCATCGTCTTGGGACGATGTTTCAACCATTTTTGACAACTCTTGGTGGCTTGTCTTGACTATCTTGATTTTTCTTCGGAGATCCGCCTGTAGGAGGACATTCAGGAGGGAAAGAAACACACAGACACAACTAATCGTCGACTCCCAGGAAAATATGGGAAACTATGGGAAGTGGGGGGGAAGACAGAAACCTAGAAAATATGGGGAATCCTTTCATTTGTGAGTATTTATGTGTGTGTCTCAGGGCCCCTTCATACCAGACAGCACCCGGTGCTCTGGCACGCCCAAGCGTGCCAGGGACACGGCGACGGATTGGAGTGCCCCTCCCAGGGTTAGGTCGGGCATGTCCCCCTACAGGCCGATGTTCGACGACAAGCTTGAAAGATGCAAAACGTATTCGAAAATGGTCCAGAAATAGGAGAAAAGTCGTTCCCCGACCATCTTTGTATTATGTGTGAGTATTCTTCCTGTGCAGGGACACGCCCGACCTAATCCTAGGGTTCGCACTCTGCGTTTCACGGGGGGGAAGTCGGGGGCCTCGGAGCGTGCCGTTGGCCTCGGGGTAGAGCAGAGGCAGCCCGCCGGATGTATCCTCACGGTGAATGCATTGCGGGGTTTGGTTTTCGCTGGAAGTGTTTTGTTTTCCATCACCACCACCATAAGTAGGAGGGGGAGGCGGTCCTCCTCCTCCTCCTCCTCTTCTTTGTCCTCCTTATTCTCCACCTCCTTCCCCCCCCAACTTATGGTGGTGGTGGTGGTGGTAGAAAACAGGCCCATGAGATTTCCATGCAAGTTAGCCAGGAACTGCGCTGTCGCCTGAGACTTCGTTTCAAAGTACAGTCGGCCCGGAGTAGTAGGTCGACCCTGCCAAATCAAGAGTACCTTCCCTTGTGTCCTGTGTCTCGCGACCCATGCCTCCTACACTCCTACGGCAGAGTGGCCCTCGAAAGGGTCTTGTGTCCTCTCGCGACCTGTGCAATCAGGTCCGACTGTATTCATGAATCGCTCTGTCGGCTCTCTGGAATTGCGCTCTCGCCCAGGACGTCCTCGAGACATTTCCTGAGTGGCCGCGTCCCCGCTCGAGTCTGCCTTGCCGTCCCCCCTTGGAGGAGGAGGAGGAGGAGGAGGAGGAGGAGGAGGAGGAGGAGGAGGAGGAGGCGGAGGCGGAGGAGGAGGAGGAGGAGGAGGATGAGGAGGAGGAGGCGGAGGAGGAGGAGTTTTCCCTCTGACTGGTCCCTCTCTTCCTCCACCCTCCCCCCCAGAAGGCGGCGGGGCCTCTCAGAAGCCTCCGCGCCTCCTGAGAGGTGCGCTCTGTGCCTTCGGGGAAGGCTTGGGACACTTCTGAGCAGGCCAGGGCTTTGTGGGCCCCGGAAACGGCAGGGCCGTTTCTTCACCGTTTCCAAAAAAATACCCCTTGAAAATGGAAACGGCAAAAAAACGGCGACTGGAAACGGCAACAAAAACGGCTCCAGGATTGGAACCGGAACCTGTCAACAAACGGCGACGGAACCGGTAAAACAACGGCGTCGGAACCGGCAAAAAAACGGCAAAACGGAACCGGTAAAAAAACGGCCCTGTCGTTTCCAGGGCCCACTAAGGGCCGGGGGACTTCCGAGCCTTCGGAGAAGGCCTTCTCCTTCTGGCCTCCCCCCCGGGGTCGCCGTCGATGTTCCGACGCCACTCCGCCGACCCCCAAGAGAGGGACGAGGTCCACGGGCCAGGCCGGTTGGGGTCTCCCGGGGATCCTCGTCTGGGGGCCCCGTCCGGGGGCCTCGTCTGGGGGCCTCTCTGGGCCTCGCGGGAGTTTCTCGGTCGCCTGCTGGCGGCCTCGGGGTCCTCCAAGGGCGGAGGGCTCGGAAGGTCAGTTCGAGTTGCAGCTTTGGGGCCCCTCTTGGGGTCCTGTTGGGGCTCTCTCGGGCCACCCTGGGCGCCTCTTGGGCCGCCTTGGCGTCCTTTTCGGCCGTCTTGGGTCTTGGGGGCTTCTTGGGCCGTCTTGAAGCGACCGTAGGGGCCTCGTGAGCCGTCTTGGACGTTGTTAGGACCAGACGTGCGAAGATGGTCAACATATGTGTTTTCCCTATGGATGTTGACGAGCCTTGCTTCTTGGGGCCCTCTCGGGGGTCGTCTTGGAGTCCTCCTGGGGCGTCTTTGAGGCCTCCTGGGCAGTCTTTAGGCCATCACTGTCGTCTTTGAAGACTCTTCGGCGTGTTGGAGCCCAGCTTGAGCCAGCTTAGATGGCATCTTGGGTATCCTGGAGACCACTGAGTGTAGGCTTGGAGGCTGCGGAGGCCCCCGGTGTGAGTAACGAGCTCGTCACCCCTCCCCCTGGTACCCGCTCCCCCCCCCTAATCGGATTTCAGACCCTAGGGGAGGGGGAGCGAGGGAGGGGGACCGGCAAGCATCTCACCACACGGACACGGCCATGCGCCCCCGGGAAGCGGGGTCGGCGGATTGTTGTTCGTCCTGGTTGAAGGGATGTGCCAGTTCGGCGTGGCAGGGAAGGACTATCTACCCCCCCTGAAAGAGTGCGATCACAGACGAAGAGAGCGGGTATCGAGAGTGTGGGAGCTACGTGTTGAAAGGCCCGCGAGCATATGCAAGCGAACAGTCTGAAAACGATTGTTGAGCTATCATTCCTAAAACTAGGTCTTGTTGATCCCATCCTGGGGCTCGCGCTTATCTTTACGATGGGAAATCATGCAACTCAGACTTGGGCTCCCGGCTCCCGATTGACAACAGCAAATGTTCCCGCCAGATATCTTCGTTCGATTTATTCAGCATCGCGCTCTCGCACGCGAGCTCTTCACGATTTGCCTGGGAAGCGCCCCCTTGCTGGGGACTTCCTCGCAATCTGTTCGACGCCGCACCCTCGACGTTCAGGAACCACGCTCCCGCTCTGGACTGCCTCACGATTTGTATAGGATTATGTCGGGCGTGCCCCCCTACAGGGGGATTTTCGACGAAAAACAAGGTACCCCAAAAATGCCCCCAAAAGGCGAAAAAGTAGTAAACAATTATCCCAGTGCGACCCTACCTAGGAGTTGGAACCCCTAGGAAAGCAGCATTAGTAGTAACAGTAACGCTAAACTAAAGCTAAGCTAAAGCTAAGCTAAAGCTAAGCTAAAGCTAGGCTAAAGCTAAGCTAAAGCTGAGCAACAGCTAATCTAAAGCTAAGCTACAGCTAAGCTAAAGCTAAGCTAAAGCTAAGCTACAGCTAAGCTACAGCTAAGCTAAAACTAAGCTAAAGCTAAGCTACAGCTAAGCTACAGCTAAACTCAAGCTAAGCTAAAGCTAAGCTAAACGCTAAGCGAAAAGCTAAGCGAAACGCTAAGCGAAACGCTAAGCTAAAGTTAAGCTACAGCTAAGCTAAAGCTAAGCTAAAGCTAAGCTAAAGCTAAAGCTAAAGCTAAAGCTCCCAGGGGACTGGGGGGAACCGCGGGGCGGGGACTGGGGGAACCGCCCGGGGCGTGTTGCACTGCCCGGCCCCTTTAAGCTAACAGAGTAAGAACCCTTCTAGGCAGAGCCTAGGTAGGGAAATACATAGTCCCCAGACTATTTTTGGACTGTTGTTCGATCATTTTGGGGGTATTTTGTTCGTCGAAAATCCCCCTGTAGGGGGACAGGCCCGACTTAAGTATAGGAGTCGCGCGCGATCGCGCGAGAGGTCTTCGCGCTTCGTGCGGGACTGGCGCCTCGGCGACCCGCCTGCTCGAACGGGTCGCCTGAGCCCCCGCGCCCGACCCGCCCGCCGGTCTTACGTCGGGCCTGCCCCTTCTGCAGACGGAGCATCCCAAAATAGCCAAAACGTAGTTTCGGGACGATTTTTTGTCCCACCATCCTGTGGTGTTGGGTCCTCGTTTTGAAGAGACAGCGCCCCGCGTTCCTCTCTCCTCCCCTCTCCTCCTCCCCCTCGTCCTCCCCCTCCTGCCTCCTCCCATCCGCCTCGTCACCTCCCTGCGTTTCACCCACCCAGGACAGCGCTTCGTGGTCCCACAGGGAGCTCCACCGAAGCCCGACGATCGTGGCCTCCTAGGGAGACCAACCGAAGACTCCAGCGGCAGGGTCTGCATGCGTCCCCCCGCCCATTTCGGCACGCCCCTCACGAGGATCGTGGCCCCATGGGGAGCTCCACCGAAGGCCCCAGCGGCAGGGCACGCACGCGTCCCCCCGCCCACTTCGGCACGCCCCACTTCGTTTCAAAGTACAGTCGGCCCGGAGTAGTAGGTCGACCCTGCCAAATCAAGAGTACCTTCCCTTGTGTCCTGTGTCTCGCGACCCATGCCTCCTACACTCCTATGGCAGAGTGGCCCTCGAAAGGGTCTTGTGTCCTCTCGCGACCTGTGCAATCAGGTCCGACTGTATTCATGAATCGCTCTGTCGGCTCTCTGGAATTGCGCTCTCGCCCAGGACGTCCTCGAGACATTTCCTGAGTGGCCGCGTCCCCGCTCGAGTCTGCCTTGCCGTGCCCCCTTGGAGGAGGAGGAGGAGGAGGAGGAGGAGGAGGAGGAGGAGGAGGAGGAGGCGGAGGCGGAGGAGGAGGAGGAGGAGGCGGCGGAGGAGGAGGAGTTTTCCCTCTGACTGGTCCCTCTCTTCCTCCACCCTCCCCCCCAGAAGGCGGCGGGGCCTCTCAGAAGCCCCCGCGCCTCCTGAGAGGTGCGCTCTGTGCCTTCGGGGAAGGCTTGGGACACTTCTGAGCAGGCCAGGGCTTTGTGGGCCCCGGAAACGGCAGTGCCGTTTTTTCACCGTTTCCCAAAAAATGCCCCTTGAAAATGGAAACGGCAACAAAAACGGCGACTGGAAACGGCAAAAAAACGGCTCCAGGATTGGAACCGGAACCTGTCAACAAACGGCGACGGAACCGGTAAAACAACGGCGTCGGAACCGGCAAAAAAACGGCAAAACGGAACCGGTAAAAAAACGGCCCTGTCGTTTCCAGGGCCCACTAAGGGCCGGGGGACTTCCGAGCCTTCGGAGAAGGCCTTCTCCTTCTCGCCTCCCCCCCGGGGTCGCCGTCGATGTTCCGACGCCACTCCGCCGACCCCCAAGAGAGGGACGAGGTCCACGGGCCAGGCCGGTTGGGGTCTCCCGGGGATCCTCGTCTGGGGGCCCCGTCCGGGGGCCTCGTCTGGGGGCCTCTCTGGGCCTCGCGGGAGTTTCTCGGTCGCCTGCTGGCGGCCTCGGGGTCCTCCAAGGGCGGAGGGCTCGGAAGGTCAGTTTGAGTTGACGCTTTGGGGCCCCTCTTGGGGTCCTGTTGGGGCTCTCTCGGGCCACCCTGGGAGCCTTTTGGGCCGCCTTGGCGTCCTTTTCGCCCGTCTTGGGTCTTGGGGGCTTCTTGGGCCGTCTTGAAGCGACCGTAGGGGCCTCGTGAGCCGTCTTGGACGTTGTTAGGACCAGACGTGCGAAGATGGTCAACATATGTGTTTTCCCTATGGATGTTGACGAGCCTTGCTTCTTGGGGCCCTCTCGGGGGTCGTCTTGGAGTCCTCCTGGGGCGTCTTTGAGGCCTCCTGGGCAGTCTTTAGGCCATCACTGTCGTCTTTGAAGACTCTTCGGCGTGTTGGAGCCCAGCTTGAGCCAGCTTAGATGGCATCTTGGGTATCCTGGAGACCACTGAGTGTAGGCTTGGAGGCTGCGGAGGCCCCCAGTGTGAGTAACGAGCTCGTCACCCCTCCCCCTGGTACCCGCTCCCCCCCCTAATCGGATTTCAGACCCTAGGGGAGGGGGAGCGAGGGAGGGGGACCGGCAAGCATCTCACCACACGGACACGGCCATGCGCCCCCGGGAAGCGGGGTCGGCGGATTGTTGTTCGTCCTGGTTGAAGGGATGTGCCAGTTCGACGTGGCACAGAAGGACTATCGACCCCCCCTGAAAGAGTGCGATCACAGACGAAGAGAGCGGGTATCGAGAGTGTGGGAGCTACGTGTTGAAGGGCCCGCGAGCATATGCAAGCGAACAGTCTGAAAACGATTGTCGAGCTATCCTTCCTAAAACTAGGTCGCGTTGATCCCATCCTGGGGCTCGCGCTTATTTTTACGATGGGAAATCATGCAACTCAGACTTGGGCTCCCGGCTCCCGATTGACAACAGCAAATGCTCCCGCCAGATATTTTCGTTCGATTTATTCAGCATCGCGCTCTCGCACGCGAGCTCTTCACGATTTGCCTGGGAAGCGCCCCCTTGCTGGGGACTTCCTCGCAATCTGTTCGACGCCGCACCCTCGACGTTCAGGAACCACGCTCCCGCTCTGGACTGCCTCACGATTTGTATAGGATTATGTCGGGCGTGTCCCCCTACAGGGGGATTTTCGACGAAAAACAAGGTACCCCAAAAATGCCCCAAAAAGGCGAACAAGTAGTAAACAATTATCCCAGTGCAACCCTACCTAGGAGTTGGAACCCCTAGGAAAGCAGCATTAGTAGTAACAGTAACGCTAAGCTAAAGCTAAGCTAAAGGTAAGCTAAAGCTAAGCTAAAGCTAAGCTAAATCTAAGCTAAAGCTGAGCAACAGCTAAGCTAAAGCTAAGCTACAGCTAAGCTAAAGCTAAGCTAAAGCTAAGCTACAGCTAAGCTCAAGCTAAGCTAAAGCTAAGCTAAAGCTAAGCTAAAGCTAAGCTCCAGCTAAGCTCAAGCTAAGCTAAAGCTAAGCTAAAGCTAAGCTAAACGCTAAGCGAAACGCTAAGCGAAACGCTAAGCGAAACGCTAAGCTAAAGCTAAGCTACAGCTGAGCTAAAGCTAAGCTAAAGCTAAGCTAAAGCTAAAGCTAAAGCTCCCAGGGGACTGGGGGGAACCGCGGGGCGGGGACTGGGGGAACCGCCCGGGGCGTGTTGCACTGCCCGGCCCCTTTAAGCTAACAGAGTAAGAACCCTTCTAGGCAGAGCCTAGGTAGGGAAATACATAGTCCCCAGACTATTTTTGGACTGTTGTTCGATCATTTTTGGGGTATTATTTCGTCGAAAATCCCCCTGTAGGGGGACAGGCCCGACTTAAGTATAGGAGTCGCGCGCGATCGCGCGAGAGGTCCTCGCGCTTCGTGCGGGACTGGCGCCTCGGCGACCCGCCTGCTCGAACGGGTCGCCTGAGCCCCCGCGCCCGACCCGCCCGCCGGTCTCACGTCGGGCCTGCCCCTTCTGCAGACGGAGCATCCCAAAATAGCCAAAACGTAGTTTCGGGACGATTTTTTGTCCCACCATCCTGTGGTGTTGGGTCCTCGTTTTGAAGAGACAGCGCCCCGCGTTCCTCTTTCCTCCCCTCTCCTCCTCCCCCTCGTCCTCCCCCTCCTGCCTCCTCCCATCCGCCTCGTCACCTCCCTGCGTTTCACCCACCCAGGACAGCGCTTCGTGGTCCCACAGGGAGCTCCACCGAAGCCCGACGATCGTGGCCTCCTAGGGAGACCAACCGAAGACTCCAGCGGCAGGGTCTGCATGCGTCCCCCGCCCATTTCGGCACGCCCCTCACGAGGATCGTGGCCCCATGGGGAGCTCCACCGAAGGCCCCAGCGGCAGGGCACGCACGCGTCCCCCCGCCCACTTCGGCACGCCCCTCACGAGGATCGTGGCCCCATGGGGAGCCAGCCCCACCGAAGGCCCCAGCGACAGGGCCGCATGCGACCCCCCGCCCTTTTCGGCACGCCCCCTCACGAGGATCGTGGCCCCATGGGGAGCTCCACCGAGAGCGGTACCCACAACGCGGCACTCACAAGTGCATACGGTTGGGTCCTTCGCCAGGATACTTGAATATACGTTGACTATTTGAGATATTGCTCGACTATGTTTGATTTTCCGTCCGAAATCCCCCCTGTAGGAGGACAGGCCCGACTGAACGCCAGTCTCCGCACGCCCGACCCGCCCGTCGGGTTCGGCCGCTCGCCTTCCTGCTCCTGCCCCCCCCTTCCTGCTGATCCCTATCACGCTGCACCCTTCTCCCCCCTCTTGTCTCTGCCCTTCTCCCTCCCTCCCCGCACTCACTTCCTCCTCGGTGTCTCTCTCTCTCTCTCTCTTTCTCTCTTTTTCCTGTCTCGACCCTCTTTATGTTTCAGAGGCTGCGCTAACTACAAACCGCACGCCGCAGATCGGGAAGACATGCCCCAAGGGGGGTAGGATCGAAGACGAAGAGGGCGAGCATCGATGTCTCGGGATATACACGGTTGATTGGCACGCGAGCATTTCAGATCGAACATGTTTTAAAATGGTTGTTGTTGTCGCCGTTGTGGTTGTCGTCTTTGCGAGGTCTTCCACGGGGACCTGACCTGCTGTGGCCGGGGCCACTACGGCGGGGCACCCTGCGACAGGGAGTTCCTGATGCTGCCAATGCTCGGCCTGTTTCAGCAGATCCACGCGAACCGCCACGAGGAGCGCATGAAGAGGATCCACGACGTCATTGAGCCGATCATATCGGACGTGTTCCCGGCCACGTTCGAGTACGCGAGCAGCGCCACGGGCACGATCGAAAAGCCTCTCTTCGGCGACCTCATCCAGGCCCTACGTTCCAAGGAGGCGAAGGACGAGGCAGACAAGTCGCGCTGGCATCGCCTGGGACTGAAGTCGGGCAGGTGCCACCGGCCCGGTACGACCTGCACGGGCGCGCCCAACTACAATTATTTCGAAGCTATGAGGGCATCGGAGGTCTCGGGGATGGCGTCGGGATGGATTTCTCCTGAGGGTTCGGCCGCGACTTCCAGTAATTTATGATCTAGGAGCGTGTCTGTTTCAGAAAGGTCAATAGTCATGACACGGACACGCGCCAGGAGATCCAGGATTCTCAGGGGCCCGTCAGATGCTCCTGAACTCTTGGAACGCATTCTGCGCAAATCGTATCATAGCTACATCACCAATCTCTTGGTGCTGCCCATCATGTCCTCAACAGCTTGTGATTAAGCGTTGAACTCAGCCGAATTTTTGATTAATACTTCACCCCTGTGATTCAGTCTTAGATGGTTGTAAATAGTTTGATGGCTATTTCATCGCAGGTGGGCCTGACGCGAAGATGTGGCAATGATCTCCCCGTGCTCTCTCTCTTACCCACACCATCGGATTGTCTGGGACTGCGCACATACGTCGAATTCGCCCAGCGATGAGGTGTGGCCTTGCGACTCAGCTCATGTTTCGTGCGCGTGACTGTTGCCGCTCGCTCACGGCGCCGT